GAGACGCAGCAGTGCATTAGCAACCTGTGGGATGGGGCAGCCTGGTGTGCTGGACCTTGCTGCACAGAGCAGCAGTGATAATGAGACCTAATCTAAATGAGCCTGGTGCTTACAAGCCGTGTCCCAGCGGGGCTGTGAACATCACAAATATTGATACAGGATCAGGAGAGAGCAGGGATTGATCAGTGGTCAAGGGAGCAGGATGTCCTAATTGTCTCTGGTAGTGCTGATTAATTTGATCAGGGAAATGAGCCTTAAAATAGATTAAGGTTAGAAAGGGGAGCTTGGCAGCTTAAAAAAGAAAATAAAAACCTTTTCTGTCATTCTTGCCTTTGTGAATTATTAAGCAATATGTATCTAGAGACAAAATTTATATATGTAAGCCAATATATGTAACTTGCTCTTTGGACCTTTTGATTCTGTGGTCTATTTCCCACATGTTTCTGGAAGGTGCCACCTTTTCTTTTTGCAGGTCTTTTTTATAAGACAATGGTGATGTTGGAGGGGATTCAGACAGTTAACCTGGAAAGCTCCTAACCAAATCCTTCGTAGCAGTGTTCAATTAAGCAATATGTATCTAGAGATAAAATTTATATATATAAGCCAATATATGTAACTTGTTCTTTGGACCTTTTGTTTCTGTGCCCTATTTCCCAATTTGACTTTTATTTTCCTGTGTTCAAATAACACAGTTTATTCTGTGTTATTTGAACACAGTTTTTTTCCCCTCTCAAATTGAGATAATATAGATTAAAAACTTTTAATCAGCATCTCTCTTGCACACAACATCATGCTGCTGGCTGTTTCTCCTCTGCAGTGCCACATGTTTCTGAAAGCTGCCACCTTGTCTTTCTAGAAGTCTTTTTTATGAGACAGTGGTGATGTTGGAGGTGTGAGGGGATTCAGACAGTTAACCTGAAAAGCTCCTGACCAAATCCTTTGTAGCAGCGTACAACTATTTTCAGATCAACACCAGTGTATCTCCAGTGCAAAACCAGTTATCATCACAGCAGTGGAGAGTTTAGCCCTGACTGTAATCTTGGTTCCCCTCAGAAAACTCTTATTTGATCTTTTCAAACTAAAACTGAGTAAGCAGACTGAGGTTTTCTAAACTTTTAATAGCAGCATAAGGGGAAGGAGCAGCAACCAATTAGTGTTTTGAAAAATCCAGGATTCCAGCAAGTTGCTCCTGATGACAGGTTTCATCTATTGACTGATTTATGGGAAGATCAATAGTGTTCAGGCTGCAAATTCGTCAGCTGAGGCAATGCAGGCTGCAACATCTCATTTTTAGGGAGATGCTAACAGCTGTCTGACTCAGTGTAGAAGGTGGTGTCATTCAGGCAGTCTCTGTGGAAAGACCTGAAATCAGACAGCCAAATTCGTCTTCATTAATGTTTTGATTTAAAGTTTGTGCTGTTGAAAGAAATCTTTAGGGATATCTTGATGTGTGTTTGCTCTCTGACTGCTGTTAAATCTGCCTACCTTCAGGTTCTTGTGTTGAGCAGGGTAAAAGTAGATGGGTAGAATGAGAGATTTCCTTTGGCATTCCAGTGTTGGGCAGAAAAAGAAAATATCCCTATCACAGAGATATGATGGACCTTTACAAATGGAAGTGTCTAAGGCCAGGGCTTGGAGCAGCCTGGGATAGTGAAATGTGTCCCTGCCCATGGCAGAGGGTTAGAACTGAGTAATCTTTAAGGTCCTTTCCAACTCAAACCAATTTTTTGTGGTAGATCCATTCCGTTTCTCTTTGAAATTCCAAACACAGGAATGAATTACATCCCGCCTGGAGATGCTTTTAATTTTCTCTGAACTTTTCCCGTTGTGCCGAGGTTCACAGGCACCTCAGCCAGATGATTAGCCCAGGCTGCTCTTGCTCTGTGTTGGTCTAATTATCTGTTCATTAGAATCTCAAGTCTTGAGCTGGGAGTGTGTAGGGTGTCTTTGTTTAAAGGGCAGTCTCCTAATGCAAATATTAAGAGAGCTTTCTGCCTTGCCTGAGTCAGACTGACAAGCTAATAATAGCCTTGGTGTTAGCCTTGGCTGGCACAGAGCACCAGTGCAAAAGGGTTTAAAGGCACTGCTGTATCAATCAAACCCTGGCCCATAATATGCCTTTGAGACTTTTGCTTGTTTTAACACTTAAACTCCCATTAAGAAACATCCTCTGAATGCAGAGGGCAGTGAAACAGGAGCTGTTCTCTGATACACCACTACATCAACTTGAGGCTTCTGCTCAATCCTGGATGGCCTCTAATTAGCAGAGTGCCACAGTGCTGGATTGTGCCTTCTCTGGTTGCAGGAGCTGTTCTGAGGTTTAGAGCTCTCCAGTGAGTCAGATGTCCCCAAACCTGCCCTGCTGACTCTGTGTGTGTGGGGGGAGCTGTGAGGATGCTGAATTGTTGGAGAGGGCATGCTTGATTCCCAGCTTTGCCAGCACAGGATTACATGTTATGCAATTGCTGCAATTTAATTATAGTGTTTCAGCAGTTTTGATATCTGCCTTTAAATTATCCCAAGGGCACCAAGGAGGAATGGCTTACTTTGAATAAATCTTCATAAACATATGACTCTGCTGCTGGCTTGTTTTGTTCTGTGAGCGTCATTTGTTCCCATTAACCATATCCTAGAAGTCAATGCTGCTATTCCTGGAAGCATGGCAATATCACATGAGGAGGAACTTGTGGGATGGGCTCAGCGTGTCATTACAACAATTGTCAGCTCCTCTCTTTTATTTATGGAAGAGCGATGCATATGAATGTACCTTTATCTGGAAAGTTTTAGGCAATTCTAATAAAAGGAGATCTGCATGAATTATCAGAACATGATGTTCTATTCACTGGAGGGAGAGTCATTTTAAAAAGCCTGCTAAGTGAGGCATGGTTGCTAAGTAAGGCAAGGGTTTTATTAGACCAACTGACGTAATGGAAAGGAGGAAAAACAGGCAAGATTTTGGGCACACAAAGATCTTCTTTGGATGGGAAACAAATGGCAGACTTTGTGCTAAGAATGGCTTGGGAACAATGCCTCTGAACTTCAGCTAAATATGTAAAATGGGGAGGTAATGCTGGAGGGAGATGGCTGGGACACATGGGAAGGGTTGATAAATGGTGGAGATGACATTGGGAATGAGGGGGAAGCCTGGTTGTTTGAGGGATTTGGGCTGTGACCATCTCCTGTTCTGCTCTGAGGTGTTGGCACTGAGGAATGGGAAATATGGAGCAATACTGAGTATGGGCTGTGCAGCAGAGGAGGAGGAACATGGAGGGATGTCCATTGGCAGTGTGGTTTGGGATGATGGAGATGATTGCTCTAATTGCTCTAAAGCCTGGGAGAAACAGATATTCTAATTCAGGAACTTCTGCCAAGGTCAGGTGTTCCAGTACAAATTGACTCTACTTTTTTTTCCATGGTGTTCTAGAGCTTACATCCATGGGCTTTCTTCTCCTGCCTTCCTTTCCATGGGCTGCCTGAATTCCTGAGGGCTGTTTGGATTCTGTCACATGCTTGGAACTGATGGGAGATCTGACTCCCCCAACAGCAAACCCGAAACTGATTGCAAAAAAAAATCCGTTCTGTTCCTCCTCCTGGAGTGTCCTTGTTGGGCAGAGCTCCTCTTTGCCCTGAGATGTGTCCCAGGTGTTCCCTTGGAGCTGTGGTGGCTCTGGTGGCCTGGCTGGATGTGCCATGCTCCATGGGGTGATGACAGCATCCTGCACAGCACTGGGGCTTTTGTCCACTCAAATCCTGTGGGATTTGATCCAGGCAGGGCTTCTCCCAAGTGTTCAGCTCAGCAGGAAAACTGATCATGGTTATGGTGTTTTCTGGTTCTGCGCGGGCTTAATTTAATGATATTTGAAAACCACTTGAAGACCTGTGGATGAAAGATGTTCTCTTGTTAGCAAGACTACCTTGTGTGGTGTTCAGGCTTCATAGGAGTTAAAAAACTCCATAAATCCTGAATTAGAGACTAACAATACCCACTGTAAGTGATGGCGACCAACTGCCAGGCAGCTCCTGGGCTAGAACTGCTCTCTTATTAATGCCAGTCCCAGGTTTTCTAGCACAGGGTCTTGTTCCTACCTGTGACAGAGGAAACAAGTGTGACAGGGTGTTACTTGATCACTCTGTAGCTTGGAGAGGGCTCAGACTGAAATTTGGGGAAGGACTTTGCTGAATTGTGATGTTGCCAGGGTGGGTATAGAAGGTCCCTGTTCCCTGCTCTGTTTGAGTTACTGAGGTTTGTGCTTGCAAAGCCTCCCCAGGCTGTCCTGGGGAATTGGTGATTAAGTTATTGCCCTAACAATCTATAAACTACTAAAAAAAAAAAATCAGTGAGTTAATTTTATTCATGTCACAACAGGTTCCTGCCTTCAAAGATGACAAAACCCCTCATTCTTTATGGTTTTATTTAGACCTTGAGTGTTTGCTGCCGTTGTTTTCTGTCATGCAAAATTTCCTGATTTATACCAGGGCAGAGAAGTTGGGATAAGGCAGACAAAATCTCTGCAAAACCATCAGCATGTAACCTTTATTTTGACCCTCCATACCTCCTGCAATCCTGCTATTTTTGTAACCCTGGCTAGGTAGCAGGATGAAGATTACATATCATCCTCCAAAGCAGAGCTTTTATTTTGGTCTTGTTATTTTAGGAATAATCAGCAGAGAACAAGGATACTTCCTCTTACCAATTCTGTGCGTTTCCCTGAGGGGACTGATATCAGGGGGGCTCTTACAGAATACACAATTTCCCTAGCAATAGTTCAGATAAATCCTATCTGCCCTTGAATCTGTGGTAAATCTTTCATTGACTTGTGAGGAGCCTGAATTTCGGTGCATTGTTCACATACCAAGGCTTGGAGCTGGAGTGTGTTCCAACACCTGTAAAAATTCTGGTTCAAACTGTTACACCCAGCAGAGCTTTATGTGTGCTTCTCTAGGTGTCTAAATTTGGTGTTAGAAATAAAAAAATTGTGTTTTTCTTTTCCCCTTTGCAGGCCCAATGTGTGCCCAGTGCTGGAGCTGGCTCTGGTGGGACACCAGGAGCCCTGCATCCAGTCCTTCAGCCGCATGGTCAGGATGTGGAAGCAGGGCTGCACAAACAGGAGGTGGTGTGTGAGCTATGAGAGAAGGTAACACATTACCTGTTGGTATAAATGGGCTTTGTTGCTAATCTTTGTGCAAGTTCTTTAAGTTTTTTTGTGAGAGAAGTTGTCAGCTGTTTCATCTGAAATGTTATGGACGTAGTGTCCTCCTGAGATTTGCCTTGAAATCTGTTATTACTGAGTGGAAAATGTGACTTTTTAATGTGTTTTTGGGTTGCTCATGAGCTTCATGGCTGGCTTTAGATTGAGAATTTTACACTATCGGAAGATGTTCCTGTCTTGCTCTTGCTCAGGTGAAGCCCAGCTGTCAAGTCATTGACTTTGAAAAATTGAACTTCTTTCTATTTCTGTCACATGCTTGGAACTGATGGGAGATCTGACTCCCCCCACAGCTAAACCCAAAAACTGATTGAAAAAAAAATTAAAAAAAAATTACTCAAGTTTTGGCTAGCCTGAATATAAACTCTTCAAAATAATATGTGGATAGAGTATATCAGAGCTACTGGGTGTTATCAGGATGCAGTTTGCTTCGTTTTTAATGACGACTCCTGATGGAGGCTGACAAAAGTCTCATAAATGTGACATCTGAGTGCAGTGTGCTGCTGGGGAGGTGGGAGTGGGTGGGATGGGAGCTGTGACTGCTCTCTTACCCCTCCTGTCCCCACAGGTCTGGCTACTACACGGTTTACAAGCAGGTGTACAGGATGGAGCAGCAGACCATCTATAAGTGCTGCCCCGGCTGGGCCCAGCAGGACAATGAACCCGGCTGTCTGCACTGTGAGTTGGGACAAAGCTGGGACAAAACCACCAAGTGACACCCTCAGACCCTGCCTTCCTACTGAATCCCCCCTTCTAGACACAAGGGTTTGCTTCTTGTGGTTTATAACTGGCATTTCCCCAGTGATGGGGGAGTAAATGTCCTTTAAAAAGATAAAAGTGCTCGTGTAAAAGCAGCAAATAGATCTAATTTTAATCCACACAGTTTGGATTAACAGTTTAAACTCTAATTGGAGTTGTTGCAGTGATTTTGTGCCAGCCTGGCTTTGACAGGCCAACCAAATTTATGGCTGTTACCCGAATTATGCAGAGAAATCTGCTGTGAGGCGCTTTCCTTGGGTGTAGCACTTGCTAGTCTGACTGGTTTTGGCATTTTCCCTTCTGCTGGTGCCCTTGAGCCACTTTTATTTCTACCCTGTGGTTCTCCATCTGATGAGAACCCGTTTCTATCACTAGTTTCTAACAATGATTGGATATTCTCCTAAAAGATGGAATTTAATTTAAATGATAAGGCAGCACTTCAGCCACTGATAACAAGACATCAGTGGAAGATGGCAACCTACTCAGTGTTTAGTTTTGTTACTGTTTAGTCAGTAATTGTGTTTTCTGTATGAAAGTTAGCATCTGTTCTTATTTATTTTTTAATCTTCATACCAACTTCAGGGCTGCATTCAGAGAGCTTGCTTTTATGGTTGTCTCTTTGTAGTTAAAACACAAAAAAAAAAAAAAATAGCCTGAGAGGTATTCCTGTTAGTTTCAGCCTGAATCTACATATTTAGTGTGCACCTGTTTAGTTGTAAGAAGTCAAAAATATGTTTACAATCTGTGTTTTAATCTCTGGTGTAAAGGAGTTTAAGGTATGTGAGCACCAGGGGCAAAAGGAAATTTTCTTCCTGAAAGAGCAGTGCAGGCTTGCTTTGAACTCTTTAAGGCCCCAAAGTGGTTGAATTACTCTTTTGTGTTTGATACTCTTTGCAAGCTTGGCTCAAGCATGTGGAATTTAAGTTGTTGTCAGTAAAAATCTTCTGTGTTAAAGGAAGAATTGTAATTCCCTTCCACAGATATAATATCTCCCAGTGCATCAGTGGTTTTTAACCATTACTCCATTATTGTCTGGCAACTTTTCCTATTTTATTTTGGATTCATGCAGTGCTTTGAGTCCTGTCTTCTGCCTCTGAAGCACCTTTAAGTTAAACTGCAATATCTTAAGTCTTACTTTTATTAAATTTCTTCATACCAACAAGGTAGTTACACCTATGATAGCAAATCCTGCTGCAGTCCAGCCTTTGCACTACAATAAAAATCTGGGTTTGTTATTTGGGAGGTTATGTTGCAACAGGACTGAGTCAGAGAGGGAATTCTGGAGGATCCTTGGCCCAAAATGAGCTGAAATATCCTGTCCATTTCTGTTTCTAGTGCTGTGCTCTGCTGGCACCTGCTTCAATGGAGGGAAGTGCTCTGGAGGAGGGTCCCAGGTGTGCCAGTGCCCTGCAGGATTCCAGGGGCCTCGCTGCCAGTATGGTGAGTGCACTGGCATTGTCTCAAGTTGGGGTAAAATGCAACTTCAGCATTAATTGCTAAAACAAGCATATTTTATTAATGTTGGCTTAAAATTAAAGGTGCCTTTGATGCACTTTTAAATGGTTATTTGATCGTTCTCTGATTTTCCAGAATTTTTTTTTGTATTGAATTTTAACAAAGCAAGATGAAAGTTTAATTTGATTGGTATCAGATGAGTGAGTGTCTGTGGTGGATAATATCACTGAATATCAGCAGTGGTGTCCAGTGCAGTATCTGTCTATTGCTTCTCAACTTGAATGTTGCTGTGGTGCTCTTAGTGAATTTGTCAGCCTTGCTTTCACCTTTGTGAGGGGAAATTCTGAGTCAAAGCAGGTGGGCAGTAGGTGAAGAATGCAGCAAATGAGCCACTGTATTTGTTCATGGGGATTTTTTTTTTGGTGCATCTCCAAGTAGGAAGGTTTTATAGCTCAATACCAAATATTTCATAGTATTCATGGAATAATATATGCACCAGTCTTTCATTTCACTGTGTTCTAGCGTGCTATAGTCTGAATTCAGTGTGACTTAGGCTCTATCACCCACTCTCAATGAGAACCTTTTTTGTCTCACACACTGGCTCCCAATTTGATAAACCCACAATGGCTTGTCTTGTAATTTAACACACTGTGTAAAGCTCTCCAAAATTACTGCACGGCATCCATTTGGCTTCTTAAGGGAGGGAGGAAAGTCATTCCTTCAGAGTAGGCTGTGATTGGGACAAAGGCTTTCTTTTGTATTAGGCAAATGGTAATTTCCTTTTCAACTGAAGCATATTGTGCTTTGTTCAAAAGAAGGCAGATTTTTAAGTATTTCGGTTTTTTTCCCTTTTAAATTCTAATATCTTTGTGTCCTCACCTGGCTTGTCTGTCAGGCAGTGTGAGTGAGAGGGACTATAACAATAAATAAAATGCAGAGCTGTTTACAATGGAGCTGCTGCTGCCTGAAGACAATTTCAGCTCACTTGAGCTGTGATTGGGAATTTCTTTACTGCCCACAAAAACAAGTTTATGTGGGTGAGTTGAGGTGAGCCAGAGTGACACCAAGGCAGGCTGGTTGTGATTAACTTACAGGAGAGCTGCTGCTTCAAGGTAAGCAGGATCACAATCTCCAAAAAAGCCTTCTAATAACTTATTACCAAATGGAATATATCTCGGCAAATTATAAATTGTCCTTGCCATGATAAATTGCCTTTTGAGACTCCTTTTGCTGTGGAGCTGGGGCATTCCCAGCAGGCAGATTGTGGATAGCCCAGGTCAGATTTTCCAGCTGCAATGGGATTGTGCAGCCTCTGTTTCACAGAGGGATTGTAAAAACAATGAGGGGCATCCTGCAGGATGCTCTTTGCACTTGGGTGGAACTTTTATCTGTGCCCTCTGTTTGCCTGCTTTCTATTGATTCCTGAGGTTTGAATGGAGTTCCAGGAGCCATCACCCTCAGGTTTGTGCAGAGCTGCTATCGCAGCCTGGCAGGAGGAAGTTTATAAATTGAATTCTGAAGGGGAAAACCTTCTTTCAGCAAGGCTGTTAGGGACCATTCACCTGCCTAACAAAGGCGAGGTAATTCAGAGTGTAAGGCCTCTCAACTGCTGCAGGTGCCTGCAGTCAGATTCTTCTGAGGCTTGTATCATATTTGTGCAGGAAAAGGAAGGAGAAATGTCCTGTGGGACTAACAGGCACAGCCTCTGCTTTTCCTGGCTGATGTTGGAATATTGCTCCTAAGATTTAATGCTTGAGAGATGGTTTCTTTCTTCCTTCAAAAAATTAAGGATTCCATCTCTATGATTCTGAGGTTAATTTGGTACTTGGTACCACCAATTGTTAGAAGAGCAGCAATTAGAAGTTAACTAATTTTTAATTATGATATATTATAAATGGTTTTATTGTTTATTACTTTTAGTTATATTATGTTGTAAATGTTTTAAAGTTAATAATTTAAAATTACTTTGTGTGGGTTTTATTATAATGCATTTTTTACAGTTTATTTAAAGAATCTAGTTTTATTTGTAACGTTATTTTTGAAACTTGTTTCTAGTTTATTTTAAAATACTGTTTATTTTATGGTATTTTTAAGTTAGTAATTTTTATTTTAAGGTTTGTATATAGATGTATACAACGTGAGCTTTTTGTCAGGCTTTGAGAATTTTCTATAAATCCATTTCCCACATTTGTAATCTTGGCTTCTGTCACTTCTGGTATTGTGACTTCCTGTCAGTCTCCTGACAGAGGAGGAACCACAGGCATTTCATAGCTGCACTTGAACCCATTTGAGCAAAATTGCTTCATGTATCCCATTTTATATCTCCCCCTCTCCAACCTTTTTGATTTTCTTCTCTGTTTCTGTCATCAGTGTTGGCAGCTGATTCTGAAGTTTCACTTGAGCAGCAACTCTCATGATCTCCTTGCTGGGTGCGGTGAACTACAGACTGTAGACAAATTAGTATAAAAATATTACTAAATTCAATTACTCTAGGAAATAAATGGGGACATATGTCTCAGGAATCTTCTAATCATTCTTTTTGTGGAGTTTATATTTGCCATTGAGTTAGGGAGTAGGTCATTGTCCTGGAAATGGAGTTTTGTCCTGGAGAAAGTTTGTGATGGATCTTTCAGGATGGCTGATGGCAGCATCACAGCCATCTCAGCAGAAATGATTATTCCCAATTGGCATAATTGGCATGATAGCAGATAATGACTTTTTAAAGGAATTACGGGGTGTTCCTGCAGCCTGGGACAGACACATTCCTGATGAGATGCTGCAAGGGTCAGGGCTCCTCTAACAAACTTAATGTCATTGTGTTCAGAAACGTGTTACTACCTCCCTTGTACACTCTAAAAATTACTCACAAATTACTATTTATAAAAAATAAAGTAATATTTTTATACTAATTTGTCACTCCCCAGTTTTATTATTTTACCCACACAAGCAGCAATGCAAACTTAAAGAAAGATTTATGGGTGAGATGGTGGAGTTCTTGACGCAGCCATTGCAGGGACTGGGTAACAGATTGAGCTGTCTCCTGCACTGTCTGCTGCGATTTGTCTTGTAATAATAGACTTATATCAATTACAATGTAAACCTGCAAGCTGGGTTTCATTCCATTTTTTTGAACTTGTTTGGAAGTTGTGATCCCCATTTGTCCCAGTAGAAGGGAGGGAAAACCTGTGAGAAAAAAGACAGAAGGTAAAACCCAGGGCCAAGAATGGATTCTGCTGCAGTGCTGGTGTCATTGATATGCACTGGTTGTCCTGGAAATCCTGTTCAAGGCCTTGGTGGCCACCTGAGCTGCACATGGGAGTAAATGAATTTCATTTAGTGTGTTTAATTCAACCTTGAGACTTTTACTTGGACATGCAGCCAGTGAAAGCATTCCAAATTCTACAAACAAGGGTTTATTTATTTACTCCTCTTCTATGTACTCTGCATCTACATGTGACCAATGGAAAATGAGGGGTTAGTTTTGTCTCTTAAGTGTTTTGTCATCAAATCTCAAGTTGCTGAAAGTTTTGATGAGTGCCTCCTGATGGGTTTTAAAACATGAAGTAAAGAGAGTGAGAACTGAGCAGGCTTTAGAATTTCTTGACTGATACAAAATCTGAGCATGATTAATGTTCTGCAATTATTCTTTTCATAATTATGAAAGAATAAGTACGGTTGAGCCTGTCTGAGACAATGGGTGTGGTTGGTGTTTAAAAATAGGTGAGGAATGACCAGGGAGGACTTGTCAGCCAAGTCCTCTCATGGTGGCATGGTGTTTGCCCTCTTCAATACAATATTCCTGTGTTAAACAGATAAAGTGTGACCGTGTTCACAGGGCTCTTGGATGAGGGAAGAAACGAGGATCTGACTCCATGTTTCAGAAGGCTTGATTTATTATTTTATGATATATATTACATTAAAACTATACTAAAGGAATAGAAGAAAGGATTTCATCAGAAGGCTGGCTAAGAATAGAATAGCAAAGAATGATAACAAAGGTTTGTGGCTCGACTCTGTGTCCAAGCCAGCTGACTGTGATTGGCCATTAATCAGAAACAACCACATGAGCCCAATCCCAGATGCACCTGTTGCATTCCACAGCAGCAGGTAATCAATGTTTACATTTTGTTCCTGGGGCCTTTCAGCTTCTCAGGAGGAAAAATCCTAAGAAAAGGGCTTTTCATGAAAAGATGTCTGCGACAATAAAGTGTCAATAGATTAATTTTTACACCACTGTTTGCTGTCACACGAGTGGAATTTTAAGTTCTTTTGCAGTGCCTGGTGCAGATGATGAAAGTCTGCAGCTGCTGCTTGGCCAGCACACATCTGGAGGGGCAGTGTGCTCTGCTGGGTGCAGTGCTCACCTGATGAGAACTTTCTTTTCCACCTGCCACTGACCTTGGATATTTAGTGCAGTTACTTTTAGCAAATTACCCCACTCTGCCTGGGCTCTGTTGTACATGAAGTGTTGATAATGGTGGCTCATTCCTTCATCAGGTGCTTTGAGACCCAAGTAATTAAGTGTGAGATAATGGCACTGGCATGTGTGTGTAAAGGCAGGATGCACACTGCATGGGGAGCTAAATGAAATGCTTATGAGGGAGATATTCATCAGTTCATTGACTTGCTGTCAATCTCTGCCTTCACTCTGGTCACACACTATTAAGATATTGAACTTATAAAGATTCTGGTAAACAAAAATATCAGCACCTCCTAGAGCAGATAGATCAGAGTTTACACTATAAAGCTGCTTAAAACAAAGTTGTTTTTTTGTTTTGTTTTTAAACCTTTGATTAAAATGGCAGGAATTCTGATATATTTTCTTACAAATAAAAAATATTCTTTTCTTTCACTGTGGAAAAGAAAAGAATTTTCTTCCATTTTCCTCTAGGAAATGTTTCTTCCTGCAAAGAGCTGTTTGATACAACTTCTGGTTAATGTCATGTCTGCCATCCTGATCTCTAAGTGTTTCTTCTTTGAGGCTG